GCCTTACTACTAGAAGCAAGGACGCTACTAGGGGCTCCTGGCCATACCACTAGTACCAAGAAGCTACTAGGGGTTCCTGGCCTTACTACTAGGAACAAGAACGCTACTAGTCCGCCGGCCTGCCGGCGTGTTTTGTCGATTGTTTTTGTTAGTATTGCTTGTGTTGGCTTCAACCTGCGGTTTGTATCTCCGCGCGGATTTTTCGACAGCCTGACGCCCCCCCCCCCCCCCCCCCCTCTTTACGTCTAAGGTGATTGGACTGGGACATGTCGATCGCTGGATCAGACTAGACAACCATTGGACTGAGACATGTCGATCGCTGGATCGCTGGATCAGAATAGACAACCTCTGATTTGGATTCGTTCCGTTTCATTGTAAAACGACTTCGCTTGAAATCAACATCAACAAACTCTCCCAGCAAAATGTGCAACTCCAATGCACCCACAAGTCTGATTGAGCAGGGTATTGTTGTTCGATGTCATTCTGGCTCTTTCATTTCAAACGGTTTGGAGAAAAAAACGACAAATCATGCCAGATCAAGAAATTCTTCGGTCGCTTTGAAGCCTTCTGTATGTGAAAAAGAATATCTTGTGCGACTCGCAATTCCTCAAGACGGTCGAAAAAGAGATCTGACAAGGAAAGCATGCAAAAGGCCAAGTAGTTTGGAAGAAGACTCATTTTCAAGGTCATGTTTTGTGGATTGTCTTGCTTCGTCTGGCTTGTGTTGCATGGTTTCCATTGGTTTCAATCTACGGTTGGTTTCAATCTACGGTTTGTTTCTCCGCGCGGATGTTTCGACAGCCTGCCCTGCCCCGGTTGGTTTCAATCTACGGTTTGACTGTTAATAAGCATCATTAGGCTGCCTGCCAATGCCGGCTCGAGCTGGTGGCCGGCGGCATGCCGAAGGCTGTAAATAACATACCGCAAACTCATCCGTCTGGCCGTGAAGAGTTCTCCCACGTCATTCGCTATGTATGGACTTCTCCATCCGTTGTCTGTAAAAAAAGACCCACAAAAAGAGAATTCGTAGGATTTTGCACTAAACACTCTCGTTGTCTAATTGTCTAGTGAGGGGAGTGCCTTCTCAAGAATCCCATGCCCAAGTTGTACATTTATTGTGCATTGAAGTTGTACATTTAATTTGGTCTATTCAAGAGCTGGGATCAATTTCGATTCTTGATCATCTCACAACCCTAACAATGCCACAAGCAGTCTGAGCTTGCAATTCGCCAGTTAATTTGCTAGGAACAAGGACGCTACTAGTAACATGCTAGCTCGCTCCGCTGGCTCCGTCTGCCTCTTTGGCGAGCTCCTTACAGATGCTTCCAACCAAGTTGAAGAAATGCAGGATGGGATTGTCACCGGCTAAGGGACTACCGAGACAGGCTGTCTCTCTCACAGACATCCGTTATGGTCCTCCGTGCTGCCATCAGCTGATATTGCAATCTCCTTCTGGAGCAAACGGAAAACACAAGCAACAGGACTTCGTTTCAACACAAAACAATCATGTGCTGTTTAAAGAAGACCGGTGCAGGCATCGTCACCCCATTGACTCATATTACTCGGTGGCTCACTCTCATCAAGTGCACAGGCCTTTGCCCTTCAAATGACAGCAAATGCAAATTTTGTACTTTCAGGCAAGTAAAACAAAGGTTTCACAAAGGTCTCATGTACCTCCTAATACGACGCAATGCGGTCTCGGGTTCGATCCTGGGATTCCACCTGGTGCGCACGGAAAACATGCTCAAAGGAGACAAATGTCGAACTCGTTCGAACTCGGACGTGGCTGGGGCACGTTCACTGTTGTGGCCACTTGACACAAAAAAAGTAGCAAGCACTGTAGGCATGCCGCGGCCGCCGCCTCAGCATCTCGCTCGAAAGTGGGTTCGCTCTGGGAAGGACGTCGGAAGGACTTTCACTTTGTCACACTTTCATGTCAAAGCCAACAAATAGCGGGTATTATATGGTACCACTTCGACTTGTCAGCATCTATTTCGTGGATCCTCACACGACTCACTCCACAGGGCCAAGTGAATTCACTGCAGCTTCACCAACCGTTTCGACTAAGGCCTCTGCCATTGCCCCTCGGTGCCTGCATTTTGTGAACATTGGGAACGCTACATGCTGAGACGTTCACGTCCAAACACCAAATTATTTTGTTGCAACCTTTGACATGAGGGAACCCTTTCAACCTGTAGAAAGCTAGTAGAAACAAGTGCCACGCTAGTAGTAACAGGTGCCTTACTAGTAGTAACAATGTTTGCTATTAGAAACAAGTGC